CTTGAGTTGCCTGCCCCTTCTTCCAAAGGCCATAAACCCTCTTTTTATCTCTGAGTTCCTATTCAGCCAGGTCAGTCTTCTTCCCTGACAGCTCATCTTTCTGCACATAGGGACAGCCTGCTCCTGTGCCTTTAAGACTGCCATATTGAAGTGTGTCTACCCTTCCTGGACTTCTTCATTCTTAAGGACTGGTCACTTTAAATTCATGGCCATGAACCTGCTCTGTTACAGATACCTTCTGTACTTTGGTATTTTATCTTCCATTCCACATCCTGTCTTTCACAAGGTTTTTTAATGACAGTATATTATGAGTCATTCTTTATCCTGATTTATGTTTTTCATCCACACCACTATATATCAGCTGGAGCTACCTCAGGGGCTTGAGAAATATCCTTTTATTTAAAAATCTCCACACTTCTGCGCAATGAAAAGGCAAATAAAACAGAAAACAAAACCTTCCCAAAAATATTTTGCATCAGAGAAAACAATCCAAAATTTGCGGTTTGCTAAGAATCCTAACCGAAGTCCATTAAATTTGTAGTGATACTGAGACACACTAGACACCTGATATTCTGTCACTGGTACCTGGAATTAACCATACTACACTCAGTTTAAGCATTTGATCTATTAACTGAAACACATATACATGTAAGTTAATTCTCTAGCCTCAATTACCTTCCCATTAAAGAATATTTCTGTGCTATCAGAGGCTTTTCGGACAATCAACTGACAGACCACACTATGCCAGTTGACAACATCACTAAATGTTTTGTTTTTCAAGCATCCAGAGACTGGAGAAAGTCAAGATGAAAAGTCAGGGTACAGAAAAAAAGCAGACATGATAGAGATTCCTTCTGAAAAAAGGCATTTGCCTAAGCACTGACACCTTAAGCCAACTTATTTTCAGCCTCCTTATACATCTTTATCACTGCCTCTCCCAGGTCCTCCTTGCAAGTGTGAGCCTTGGGACCTGCAGCTCAATCCTGTTTGAAAGTCTTGTGCAGGCATAAGTGAAAAAAGTAATGATTACTACGAAAAATTGCCCGAGTCTTTTTTGTTGTTTTGACTAGCCATTGGATTGCAGAATTGATTTTTACAAAGCGCAAGATGGTGCAGCAGTGCTTCTCCATACAGTTTATCTCCCCTTCAGTTTTTTCTGCAGCAATAGGTGCATACCAGCAGCCAAAATGCATAAACTGCAGAGAGAGGTAGTCCCAGTTGTCGGCACTCCTTTCTACCACACTGCTGCTGTGGGAACCTTTCGAGATGTACTTTCAAGCCAGAGGTTTCAGGCTCCCTGTGTTTGAGTGTGCTCAGTTCTTCAGGTGTCTGCACTCAATAGTGTCACAGCAGTAAATGACGCTTTTTAATTTTTTTTATTGACCATCCAGGAGGAAATAGAAGCTGATCTTCCTGTCAAATATTTTCTATTTTTTTTTTTTTGTGAGATAAAATGTAAAGTTATCCCCATATTGCAAATTTAGACAGAACTTGTGTTTCTAATGATTTTTGAACAACAAGAATTGTTGAATCTAACACTCATTAGAAGACAATTTAAAAGGTTTTCGAAATAAGTTATTTACGTAGTGGGATGTATCACTGAAAAATGTTGAAGAGGCATCCAAAGAGTGACTCAGTATCTCCAAAACAGAAAAACCAGCTTACTTACTTTTTCTTACATAAGTTTAACAAGAAGTGCACTAAAGTCAACGGGTATTATTTAAGAGAGTTTTTTTAAAAGGTCTTCTTTTTATAAAAGCACCTGTCACCATAGCAAGACCTAAGCTTTGGAATATAATCCCTGAGAAATTTCTCATGAAACAGGAAAACTCATTTGTGTTTAGCTGAAACAAAAAAATGTTTTATACTATGAACATTACTGCTTTATTCCTGAGGCTATACAATGGGCACTGTACCATTTCAGTGATCCCATCTGCACTCTGCCTATGGACCTGTAACTGACAATGTCTTGTTTTTTAAATATAGATGTTAGCAGATAACAGTGGAATAACAGAAAAAAAATAAAGCAGCTGTACTCCGCAGCAAACCAAAACAAGATGCTTTGCATAGCAGGAATGACTTAATCCACAGCTGACTGCTGTCTTCAGCTTCTGAGCAGTAGGGAACTCTAGGCCTGTACCATTTACAAGCTTCATGATTTGCTGCCAATTTGTAGAAACCAAAGTAAACTTCTGGCAGGACTCCTGCATACCATAGTAGTTAAAGAAACTATCATCCCACCCTGATTTTACAAGCCTTGAAAGATTAGTCTAATGCTTATTTCTACCCTCCTATACTACTTAGCTAATAGAAGGTTTAATGTAAAGCTTTCAAAATAAAGTTTTGGAAAGTGCCACTCTGGTGTTTACACTGAAGCAATCTACAGTTAATTTTTTCTCATTTCTTTTCCTCACCCATTAGCCTCAGCTGATTAGAAGTGAAAAGCTGGCACACAGACCCGGCACCCTGATATTTCACAGCTGCATGAAAAGCTGCCCAGACACAGTTGCTTATTTTTACAGCCATTCTTTTTACTCTTTATCATCCCATCCCTTAAGGTTGGATTATAAAATGAGGCAGAATAAACTAGATAATTTCATAAAACAATGGTGCATTTGTACATCCCACCTTTACTGGAAGACAAAAATTACCATTATGCAATGCTGTCCAGTTGCTATAGCAGGAAGCAGGAATCAACCAAACCAATTTACACATTATGACGTCTTTGGAAAACATGGCTTTCAGAATGTTACCTGGTTGTGTTTAGCTCAACTTCCAGGCACAACTTAAGTATCTAATGCCAAATGACCACACATGCTGAACAATCTGAATCTTGCCCCAATTTCTGAAGATATTTTAGACACAAAAAATATACACAGGCTGTTAGTAGTGCTTTTCAGCACCTATGTAGTATTTTTAATTCCTGTTGAGTCCAGGAGCAGCTGGGGAAAAAGGGCGACATCGGCAAAAGTTGAAGATGGTTAGGTGCTGTTTACCAGGCTCAGTGTATCTGCTTATTGGACACATTGAGCCTCTAAGCAGAAGTTATAGGCTGCCAAGTAATCTTACTCTGAAAACATACTCCATGTATCCTCTGTGTCCAAAAGCTGATTCTACACTGACACTGATAATACTGACAAAGCTCAGTACAGCACAGTTTCTGTCCTCCCACCACCATATTTCACTGCAGGACCCTGAGGGTTGGGCAGTAAAAGTATTCAAGAGGGATGCAGGGTATGAAAACTAAAATCCCCTAGCTCTAGGAGAGAAATGAATCGGTCCAAATTCACTTAAATTTGGATGTCTCCAAGTGTGCCTTCTCATGTCCCAACTCCAAGAAGAGCAACATCTCCACACAGATAACCCAGGATGTGTCCCTAAAGTGTGTGTAGAAATAGGTGGGTGGTGGACAGCAGGAGAGAGGGATGTGCTGTGATGCAAACTGGCAGCTCACCTGAGGAGTACTCGCAGAGAGCCAGGCTGACTGTCCCATCTTTTCTCAAAACTCCTTGGAAGCCACTGATGGCAAATGCCTGTCCATCACATGCAGTTTGGTGGGCATCAATCACAGGCGCTCAGGGCATTGTCAGACAGTCACTTCAGTTCCCTGCAACTGGCACTGCCAGCAAGAGATTCAGGCAACTTTCCCCACTTGTGTCAGTCTCACTCTCCTCTGACCTCAGGCTGAGCGGAATGCAGCTGAGCTGCCTGGCCTGACTTAAAATGCAATTTGCTGTTACTGCTGTTGGCAGCATAATTTTCATCATGATTCACTCTGGAGAACTGCACAAAGGCTGGGGAAAGGAGAAAACTGCAAATATGAGATGAGTGGAAGTTACTACTCTTTTGTGGTAATTATGCAGACACAGTTCTGCTCTTCCAACACTGTTTACAGGGCTCTAATACAGACACGTAGTTCAAAGCTAGGGCTGATGCTAAAGGGGTCAGTCATACAAACTAGCTGTTGCAGCATGCTGAGTGGAAATGCCTACATCTCTGGGCTATAAACAACTTTTGTTCCTCTATTCGTACTTTGTTTTCAAGTAACTAGCATGTTTACCACTACCCTGTTGGTAGTCCTGAGACCTCTCATAAGCCATGCCAAAGATATCTTTTATTAGCCACAAAATATTGCTTTCCACAATTAAAAAAACAACCCAAACTTCAAGAAAACAAAATGCACAGCCATTATATTAAAAACTAGTAGGATTCTCCTTCCCCCAAATGATGCAAATCCACAGAAAGATATTTCTTTCTGCCAAGTACCTAGTTAAGAAAATGTAACCAACAAATACTGCCTTCAAACACCTACGAAGGCAGAAAAGTGGCCCAATTCCTGAGGTGAGGTGTCCTCCCAGAATTTTCCCCAGCCTTCAACACAGCACATCCAAAGAGCAATGCTGGAATAAGAAACATTGGGAAGCAGAGCTCTGAAGGGGATATATGTCATTCATGGAGATATCTCCAACTAGTTATGTGACACAGATATCATCTAGTAGAATTGCCACTTCTGGGTTTATAAGGTTTCTATCAAACTCCACATAAAAAATCTCCTTCACTTGAAAAGACACCATTAGATGGGAAAAAACCTCCAACCTCAATTAACTTGTCTACTTCTTCAGTACACAAAGTCTACAGAGTTCAAGAAGGTCAGAAACTAAGAGAGTTGTCACACACAACCCCCCACTAACTCAATGAAATGATATCAGAGAAAAGTAAGAGTCATCCCATATATTCTGCCTCCCAAGGGGATTGAATATGGTTCATTTCACATGCCCAGAACTCTCAGACTAATTTTGATGTGTTTTCAGGTGGCTTCAAATGCTTTCAAAGAGTCACACAGTGTGCATGGAAAAGACAAAAATATGTATTTCAGAAAAAATTTAAAGCAAATCATTCTGCTTTAAGAGGAATCAAGTTTTATAGACTTTCATAGAAGAATTGGTACCTTCTACCTGATAACTTGGATCGAAAATGTCAAGAGTGTCATAGTGCCTTACTTGTTCTCGTTGCTGGCATCATATCGAGGCATAGGGTCAAAATCATTTCCATTAACATCAAAACTGGCTTGTGAATCCTGTAGCCAACAAGAGAAAGAAAATCAGTTTCTCATTAAGCAGCCATTGACTTATGTGGCCTATACATTCTTCAGCAGGTTCCTACAACAGAGTAATCAAGCTAACTAACATTTATCTTGCTTTATGATGACTGTGTGTTTTAGTAAAGGATTATATATTTAATAATTACAGGATTTATATATTTTATTTTAATTTTGGAAAACAGAGAAGGATAACAAATGCTCTGAAAAACTATAGTTCCAACATCAGAGAGGAAATAGAAAATGGTTTTTCATTTAACCAGAACACTACATTTCTTCTAAGAGCCTTTTGGAAGTTAAGAAGTTCATTCTTAAACTGGGATTTTGCTAAATGTTTTAAGATTCAAGAAATTATCTGCACAGCAATGATCGAAATTGATTTCAAATGAAATCGAATGATTTCAAATATTTGCAAGATATCTCTGTCTTTTTGTTCCATATTTACCAGTATTCTTACAGCTGAAAATATAGACAAAATAGCTCCTGGTTTGTATGCATCGCATTAATAGATGTGGTAGCATGTGGTGTATTGACACGGCAAGCAGACATTTTAGAACTCTTCTGTGTTCAAAACCAGTTACCACATCCACATCAAATACTCCTGTTTGCAGCCACACCACCTATAATCTGACATACAGAAGGTATCTGTGATCAAACAAGCAGTGCATATTGCTTTGGGGGAATTCCTTGGTGGTGTGAGGAAAGGGAGAGAGGAGGTGGTAAGGAAATAAATAGTTGCTTTAAATTCAGTGGAAAGACATTACTAGGATGAGGTGATATATGATACAATCTAGGTCATTCACTGAGGAGGTAAAATTTTATCTGCTTTGTTTAAATAACTTCACATATTAAAATGACAAATGTGTCATGCATTAGGATCAAACATACATTGACAAATCGGTCAACTGCCTGCCACCCTCCAAGCTGAGTTCCATGTGTAGCATGGGAAAGGATACAGATGTAAACAGGGCCAATTTAAAATAAGTGGCGTTAACCTGCCGACATCATTGTAGGTTTTAATGGGTTGTTAAAGACATTCTTTCCACCTTCATCTCTCTAATGCTCTATCAAGATGATAAGCTTACTGACAAAATGCATGTGTTCAGGGCTCTTTAACAAGACTTACATCTGTAATGGGAGTGAAGGTATATGCATGCCTTGCACTGGTCACCTTCATCAGTCCAGCTCAATTCAAATATATTTGCTTGATTTCTTACCTTGTGTGTATGTACATCTTGCACACTTTATTTCAGACAAACCATAAAGTCCTCATGGTCACATGCTTTCAGATAATGCCTACTCCCCATGGATAAGACAAATTACATCAGCACAGTGTGGCCCTGATGCTCTGAACAGCTTCAAACTCTAAAACAAGAAGTCACTCACTAGAGAAGAAGCTTCTCCTTATGTTATCCAGCCTCCAAATTATATTAAACCAACCATCTAAATGTGGTGAACCACAAGCAAAAGGAAACCTCCTGAGGCAACATGAGACATAGGACACAGAAAACAAAGAACACAGTTCTATCACAAATTGTGAAGGACTTGGTAGTGTTAAGATATATTCATCAGAAAGACTACAAGATATTCTACACTTGTTTTTAACTGAGTGAATCAAAACTGGTCATGTACTTTTCCTTTTTGTTTCTAGAAGTAAGATAAATAGCTTTAAAAATGAATACATATAAGGATTACTGTAAAATTACTGTCTTTGAGAGAAGCTACTGTCTCACTGACTAAATGTATTGGCCAAAAAAGAACTTCAGATGTACGCATTAACTGAAAAGCAGTGTATTCCAGTTCTATGTTCTGAGAGTGTGAGCATACTAAGTAAAAAAAATTGTAGAAAAGAGAAAAAATATCCAAAAATTGGTTCCAGTCCTTCAGAAATTCAGGACAAGAGGCATCCAGATATTAAATATGTTCAGATTGAATACAGTCTTAACTAAAACAATACAGATGACCAAAAATTGTTTTCCTTCCTCCCATTTATGTTAACATCTGAGGAAACACTTGATTGATTCTTCCTCCTCCTCTCCTGCCTCTCTTCATCTTTCCAGAAGCTAATTTTTTCTGAGCAGAAAATCAGGACTCTTGTGGACACTCACATAATTCTGCATCAAGTCTGGATGGTTTCTTTCGATGCCGTCATCTAGGATGGTGACCACAACATTCTTTCCAGTGTAACCTCTCTTCCAAGCACCTACTATATTCATATCTGACTGGCAATGGTGGGTGTTATCACTGCAGTGCTGGGGAGAGAAGAGGAGACAAAGATGTTGGATATTGCAGATTACTGAGCAGTGAGGGGTTGAGACATTATTCTACTTACATTAACATTACCATTTAAATTGGCACATGAACACAGTGTTTGGAATAGCATCTATACATCATCAACACCTTTAGACAGAAAACAACTTGAAAGAAATGCAAATTATATGAAAACTGCTCATCTTGCTTACTTCTCTTTCAAATTATTCTTCATGCTAAGCAATAAAAAAGGGAAGCTGTACTGAATCGCTAGAAGCCATGTGTAAAACAAAGCATCTATTCTTGGCTGTTAAGCATGCTCATTTTGAAATATTTGATTTTTCTTTTTTTCAGAAAAACAAACCATATGTGGATAAAAGTAGACAAATGCCTGTACAAATATGGTCATGAAAAAACCCCTTGCTTTTTGGAGCTTACGTGCTGTACAATTCTATCTAAAAAGAAGGCTTTTGGCAGGTTTTGCGCAGTATCAGTAGGAGATAAGCAGCAGTTAAGAACCTGTAACCAAAACAACATGCTGAAAAATTTGCAACTTAGGGGGTCGGATGAATTGTGGATAGTGCAGATTGAAAGCAGCCTGTGGTACGGCTTTCAGAGCAACGAAGTCCAGTGTGGTGGAGGAAGTAAGTTTAGGGTCCATTAAAACTGAAAGTCTCCTCCTTGACATGAATGCACCCAGCCCACGTGAAGAAACCTGGCTTGCCGTGGCAATGAGACATGACCCCCAGGTATTTGTAACATCTCATTAGTGACTCTCTAACCCAGATGCAGAGGCCCACCTGGTGAAGTGAGTTCAGGGAGCCCCTCATGAGTACTGCTTTCCTTTAGCTTCTCCAGGCTCAGACAGAGCAACAGGCAAAAACATAAAAGAGATGGGTTGCAGAGAAGGGGAAAGGCAAAGGGTGGGAGGAAGAAAAAAAATTTAAAAAGAAATATCGTAGCAACAGTGGCCATAGAGCATGCTCCATCTCACTTCCTGCTCCACTGCCTGATGTCCCCCCTTTAGCCTCATGCCTTGTCACTCTACAGTATTTAAGGAGTATAAATACATTCCAAGGGGTGCACTCCACCTTGACTTAGTCTTCCCATCTTCTCCCAAATGTGAGCACACTGAAGAACTGTTAGACATCCTATATGCAAACTGACATCAGATTACTATTAAGTGATAATTTTCCCCCTCCTTTTTCTCCACTTTACTACTCAAACCAGATGATTTAAGATTGGTTATTTGCTATTAATAATAATAATAATGGCCAGTCTTCGTGAACGAAGATTTGGGGAAAGGTCTTTTACCTTTCCAGCCTGCGCAATGGATTTTTTAGGTGAGACACAGCCTGTGCTGAACTGAGCCCACCCTTTAATCCTAAGGTTCATCTGCCGGGGCCAAGCAAGCTTGGACAATGGCAGTGAGGTCCTCAGGACGTAGGTTTGTTTAGAGTGACCTTCTCATAGATGGATGGCCTCACAGGGCTAACGGGCTCCATCTGCCTGGGGGGACTGGGATTCGAACCTGGGTCGCAGCGGTGAGAGTCCCGCATGCTAACCACTAGGCCACCAGGGGTCCCCTTATTTGCTATTACTAAAGCAAGATTATATATTAGGCACCATACGTACATATACATATACATATATATACACACATATATATATGTACGTAGCATAAAGTCTCTCTCATGGTCTTTCCCTTGTGCCTTCAAATATCTGTCTCTCTCTGTCTATCTATCCCCACACAAAGGAGCCTGAAGGACTTCAGAGACCAGTTCCAAGGAATGTTTATGTCATTCTTAACACTTCTGTTCTCTGTATTGTTTGGAAATGCTCATGCTGCTGGCTTTATGAAATTAGTTACAGTCTAAACCTGCCACCTCTACACTCAGTGTAATGGCTGAACACACGAGGATTTCTAATGTACAAACAAGATGGTTAAATGAATTTAATGCTTCCAGGTACCTATGTCTTTTTAAAAATGTTACTAAAGTAAGTATCAGAAAATACCTGCAAAAGTATTAATATCATCCTTCACATTTTGCTGATGTTAAAGACAAGGAGACAAGAAGGTGGAAGCACCAGCCTCCAGCCACAGGGTACGCTCAAGAGTGAGCTACAACAGGCAATCAGCACTGCTGGCTCTGACCTCCAGTCAGGTTTACTGGGCCATGACACTGTGTCTTTTTATCCCCTTCTCTGAAATGCCAAATGACCCTTTGCTCACTGTCGTGTCCTCTCTTCCTGTGGGATGAACTTGTTATTTTGCTTCCATGCCAGCCAAACCACACAGGCTGAGCAAGCATATGGGTGTTTTAATAACCATTCCCTTGCAAGCACTTTGGATCTCCATGACAAGGTCACCACTATTTCCCTTAATGAGTCCACTCACTCTCCTTACATGAATTTCTACTTTTGTGGTGGTAACCAAAGGGGGCTTTGCTACACGCATGAAGGCAAACACAAGACACATCTCTTGCTTTACTGTGTGCTCTGATGATTCTCTCATGAGACACATGAGGTCAAATTGATACTTGTCTTGCTCTGCTCCAAGACTGGGCAGAAATCTAGTTTAAACAAAATCTTTCTGCATTAAAGAAATTGCAGGGGTAACAGTCTTAACTGTGGGCCCACTTATAACTTTGGATCACAGCATATGTAACATACAGATACAAAACGCAAAGGCAGCAGAGAAGCATCCAAATGGGAGCAGTTCAACAGTAGATGAAAAGTTGAGTTACTATGGTTAAAATACCTAACTTCTTCTCACGTCTTATTTAAAATAGCATCTTTGGCTTTTTTCCCCTTCTGTTCCCTATTCCTCTTCCTCCTACCAATTATTTATGGTTTTTTCTGCCTGTTTCTAGCCTTGTTTTTCTCTTCCAATACTGTCTTTTACCACTGAAATGCCCATTTTGTTTGGTTCAACATCAGATTCCCCCATTTTAACCACAAACTATACCTTCCTCCAGACTGGTGTCTGATTTTCTCCAGATAAATGAGAATAGGCACATTCTTTTCAAAGCAGTCAGATTTGTCTTTAATCAGGAACACTTTAAATCTTGAAGTGCAATTACTCTTTAAGAACTATCTAATATGGTATAGATATGCCAGTCCACACTGAACAGCACCTAAGATGCCATCTATTACTCAGTTTCCCTTGCACTATTTTCTGTCCTCTTGTACTGCTTTTGGCTGGGATAGAGTTAATTCTCTTCACAATGCCTAGTATGATTCTGTGTTTTTGATGAACACAGTGTTGATAAAACAGGGATGTTTTTGTTGTTGTGTAGCAGTACTTATCAGAGCCAAGGCCTTTTTTTCTTCTCACACCAATCCCTCAGTGAGGAGGCTGGGGATGGGCAAGAAGTTGGAAGGGGACACAGATGGGACAACTGACCGCAACTGACCAAAGGGATATTCCAGACCATAGGGTGTCATTCTCAGCACATAAAGCTGGGGGGAGAAGCATGAAGGGGGAAACGTTCTGACTTCATGGCATTTGTCTTCCCAAGTCAATGTTACACATGATGGAGGCCTGCTGTCCTGGAGATGGCTGAACACTTGGGAAGTGGTGAATGAATTCCCTGTTTTGTTTCGCTAGTGTGTCCAGCTTTAGCTTTCCTTATTAAACTATTTTTATCTTGACGCATGAGTTTTCTTGCTTTTATCCTTCTAATCCTCTCCCTGATCCCACTGGTGAGGGAGTGAGCTACTGCATGGTGCTTAGTTGCTGGGTTGGGTTAAAACTCCTCTTTCCCTCAAAAAACATTTCTTGTAAGGAAATTTTCTGAGTTCCATTATATAATTTTTCTTTAACCACGTGCTGCTTCTTTACCACCAATCAAATTACATTATCACAGTGTTAGCAGAAGGCTGTTTCTTAATTAATTTGGAAGCACTGTCTCAATTTACAGTGTTACCCAAATAAAAAATATTAAATATCTGTCATGATAACAAAAGTTATGTGATCCAGAGTGACTGAATTTTGTATCAATGGGCAAATACTGAATTTTATGGCTCATTTTCCTGTTTTCTTTTTTAGAATCAAACCAAACCTTGTCATGATACCGTACAAATACAGAGTGGTTGGAAGTTTTTATTAGATCAGTCAATCTTTGAACTGTTGTTTTCTGAATTTTAAAGGGAACAGTATAAAATAGATTATTCTACTGAATTTTCCCCCTCTCAAAACAGATAAAATAACTGAGAAATTTCCTGCACTGGTACCATAACTAGGCAACTGGATTAAGTAAGCACTATTTCAACATACATTGTTTTCATCTACTGCCTGGAGAATACCATCAAAAGGAATAAACAACCTTTCACACAGTTACTTAGAGTAATTATATTGAGATTTTTAAAGGGTATTCAAAGGATGATGTTTTTCTTTGGACTGTTTAAATGGAAAACGTTAATGATACAATCATTGGTATTTAATTGAAACTATGTGCAAGGGTAAAAGACACTTGAAGTACACACAGGAAGGAAGAAGGATATTGTATGAAAAATTTCAAATGTTTAACATTTCTTACACTTGAAATTCAAGGCTTATGAGCATAAAAAGAAAAAAATCTCTCTTACTCTAGATGTATCTTTGATACCTTTGGACAGACAATTTGGAAGCCTGCCTTTTTGCAATTAACAAGCAAACAACATTAGAAAGGTTTTTGAAGTTTGCATGTTGAACTCAGTATCAGACATGGGCCTGGATTCTCATAGCTATTTTGTGAAACGAGCCTATGGCCACTATCATTATCCTAATGCTTCTCGTCTGTTGCACTAATTTTTGTGGTTGGAGTCTTGGTGTATTCAGTTAGGGATCAGGAACAGAACTGAAAACTGAAAAACCAAGTAACATATCAATGGTCAAAATATTTTGGAATTCTAGAGATTAAAATCAAATTACAATAACAATGACTAAAATTCTGTTCTGTCTTTTCCAATGCCTGTCAGTCTATAAAAACAGAGTAGAAACAGAAGTTTCTAATCCTGC